TGGACGCTAGCTTGGATTCTCTGCAGGAGCTGTCCCATAGGGCATTAAAAGGTCGCTCCTTGGAGATCATGCCCACCTGGCTCTTAGTATAGAAGCCACCGGCGGTCTGACTCGTTGCTGTGCTGCCTAAGGAGGAACTGTCCTGCCAGGAATCTGGCAGCAGTGCCATGGGGGGAGAAGGGGCCAGGGAATGAGATGCTAATTGCCACTGAGTGCATCAACAAGCAACTTGGCAGCAGGCTGGACAAAGGCACATAAATCTGGCTCGCTCTGAGTCAATGGGAGAGTTGGCGTCAATGGGTTTGATCCCGGGTGCTCCAGAAGGAGCTACCGCAGCATCATTAACCTAGAGATCGGGGAGAGTTTTTTTAAATACAAAACAGCTGCCTGGTTAAAAAGAAAAGATGCAACGGCCGGGCTGGACGGAACAGAGGGGAGCGGCTTGATGAGGATACACGTCCCCTGGCCTCTCAGGTCAAAGGGGCACTTGAGTAACAAGTCTAAACAGGGAGCGCATTTCTAGCCCGATTCTCCGGGAGGCCAAGATGCCTTCAGCCACCTGAGAAGCCTGGGCACCTCCCAGAAAGGCACAACCTCCTCCCAGGATCTCAGCAGTCAGGGAAACAAAGGAGTAGCCAAGCCAGGCCCTGCTTTTTACTGGGGGGTTACTGGCATGGGTGCGACCAACAGACAGTGAGGATTGCAAAACGGGTCCCCAGCTGAGCAGTGAGGCCCCATGGCTTGGCATGCAGGGGTGTAATGGAGCAGATCCAGGCCTGGTTAGTTGGGAACAGGGAACCACCAGCATTCCCCTCCGGCTGGCTCAGCAGCGTCAGCATCCCACTTAGCGGAACACAGCTCACAACACTCACAAAGATGCTTTCCCGCCACCCGGGAGCAGCCGCTTTTCTTCCGCGGCAGGCACTGGAGACCAGCGTCAGCCGTGGCCTAAGCAAATGCCAAGCCCACTGCAATCAACAGAGGCTGCACCCACTTATACCAGGGCTCAACAGGACCCCGTGCATCACAGGTATGTACCCTGCAAAGCTGATACATGCACCGTAGTGGTCACATTTCTCCAGGGAAAAGAGAGGAGCCCAGTCTCAAGTGTAAGGCCGGGAAAGAGGACAAATCTCCACTCCACTCCAGAGGGTGCCCTCTCCCTCTGCGTGACAAAGCTAATTAACGCTTGAACCACAGAGCTTTTAACATTTAACAGGATTAAATCCAGCCTCTTTCTGCATCACGTTTAAGCAGCTTGGTGGATCCTCCCGCCCCAGGTAGACAGGTATAGTTAAAGCAGTATAACCCCACTAGTGGGGACGCAGTTACACAGGTAGAAAGGTGCTCTTGCTGTAGGAGAAGGGACATAACTCTACTGGTATAAGTCACCTTTATACTGGCTTTACTATAGCCACACTAGGAGCTGTACTGGTATAGCTATAATGGTAATAAGTCACACTCCTAACTGCCATAATGATATTGGTACAAACCGTCCTGGCCTAGAGAACGTGTTGCAGCTTCAACATTCCCTGCCCCACCCCCAGAGGAAGAATTACTATATATGACAAAACCTAGGGGTCACGACCATCCTGCTGTTTCCATGAGAGGGAGATCCTGGCTAGATCCCAGCTAGATGGGAGGTGAGTCTGCTGGCACGAATACCTGGGTTCAGTGACCATTGGTTTCGAGCAGCCAACTCAGGGGAGCTTTAAGGGACCGTTTAGGGAGGGACCCAATCAGCTTGAGATCTGGTCAATTTCAATGACCTGGAGGCACAGGAGGGTTTTGCACCTGCTCTGCAGTCCCTCTGCCAATTTCCCTGCTTTCACAATCCCCTTAAGATCCACTCTGAGGAAGGGAAACTGAGGCGCTAGGGGCTTGACCAAAGTCAGTGGAAACTGAAGTGGGCTTTGGCTCAGGCCCCGCAGAGGGGGAAAAAACAGTGAAACTGACCACACACAAAGCGCTGTCAGATGCACAGAGGGAAACAAACTAAAAATAACCCAGTGGGATTTTGTCCTGTCTCTAATCTCCTTCAGGGAGCATCAGGTTAGCGGCAGCAACGCCAGGGGAACTTGTTCAGACAGATACGCGGAGAGCCCATGGTGTCTCTTTAACATTCACTGTGGAGATTAAAAAAAAACAACAACCCAATCCCAGTGCACATTCTAAAAATATCACTGCAACAATATGCTTCATGGCAGCGCTCCCACCCTCGTCCGCCTAGCAGCACAGGGAGCACCAAAGGCCTGAGGGGGAAAAATCTTGGGGTGTGGGGTCACATTTTCAAATGCTCAATGCCCGCCACCGGGGCTAGAACAGCACGAGTGCTCAGCTTCTCTTGGGACACCTCGGATCCGTTTTCACAAAACGCTCACGACCCAACCTGCTGGATTCCTTTGAAAATCTGCCCACTTATTTCAGTGCCGCAAAAGAGCGCTGAGCCCGTCTGAAAATATCTAGTCCTTACATCTGCTTTTCGCCAGCGACACCGTAGGAGACATCAGGAAAGAGTTCCCCCCCCAGTGCATGCTACGGCCGACCCAGACAGAAAATGGTGCAGAAAGATGAGAAGCAGGAACCTCATTGACTTTTATCTAGTACACCTGATTTTTCTGGTTATTTTCATCACCTGTCCAAAAAAAAGAAAAGAAAAGAAAAGAAAAGAAAAGAAAAGAAACCTACGAAGAACCAGTTTGCTGTTTCAGCCCTGAGCAGACGATGAGGTGTAACAAGTATCTAGAATCTGGCGAAAGCAGCAGGGGGGGCGGAGAGGGCATGTGTACAATCTGGATTCTACATTGTAGTATGAGATTCTCTGTGCTGGTTTCCAGCAGAGCAGTGAGCTAACAGGCTGGTTAGCTGCTGGCAGCATGCAGGGTCAGGGAGCTGGAGGCAGTCAAGAGCAGCTTGCGACTAGAAAAACAGGCTGGGGAGGTTGGGAGCCGGTTTATCAAATGGAAAAGCACAAAAATCAGCAGGAAAAGACGTTGTTTAAAAAAATCCAGAGCGCCCCACCCCCGTTGTTTGCAAGAGAGGCCAAGCTGGGAGGCTTTGGGTCTCCATTCCATTGCTTTGCCCTTTGCGCAGATGTTCACACCAGCGCAAAAGCACTTTCGCTTCACGTCCACCCTCTGCGCTGGTGTAAATGACCTTTATGGGCCAGGACTATTATGCAGGTAAGGATGCTCGGGTGCCACAGGACAGGGCAGAGGAAACGCATGGCTACAGCAGGACACACGCTTAAGGCCCGATCCTGAGAAGTGCTGAGCACGTTCAACACACGTTAACTTTCGGTGGGAGTTAACAGCACTCAGCACCTTGCAGGAGACTTCCCAGCTGGGGATGTTTTAGGCTCCTCAGCCCCTTGCCGGACAGATGAATTCTGCAGCAAGCCCTCGATTGTCTCTAAAATGGAGTTTCTCCTCCAGAATAACCCCGCCCCCGCACTCACGTCAGGAACACGGCACACAGCGCAGAGCTCATTAAATTATGCTCCCCTGGACCTAATTACAGGGAGAGAATTGTACTGTAAGCCCCTGGGAACAGGGTTCCTGGGAGGGGATGGGGTGGGGAAGCAGAGGAGTCATCAACGTTAATTTCCTCCACCGAGAAATTAAACAAACACACGAGAAAAATACAAAACAGACCAAGTGTAACAGGCCAGCCAGTCCCTTGTGATGACGCCAAGTTGCAGGTAACTGCAGGCAACTGCAAGCAGGACCCTCAATGGTGCAGCATCAGTTGTACCACAGATCCAGTTTAAGCCTGGGATTTTCAAAGAAGCCAGATGGAATTAGGGGCAAGTCAATGGGAGTTGGGAACCTAATTCCCTCACACGTAGGTCCAGATCAGAGGGAATAAAAGAGGCAAAGGGAGCAGGAGGGTGCTCTGGACTGGGGATGGGAAGTAGAATTCGGGTAGCTTTACTGTTCAGTCTCGTGATGCAAAATCTGTTTTTTGCCTCCAAAGCCTACAAGCCAGAATCGCACCCTTTGCTGCCCCTCGGGTTACGCCCGGAGAATTCCTGCCAGCTAGGGCAAGCGTATCATTACTGCAGGCTACGGGTGTCAAGCAACGACACATCCACACGCACTGCCTTCCCCCTGCTGCCCCCAGCCCCATCCACACAGCTCTCAAACCTAAACTGTAAAGCATTGGCTGAAGTCCCCTTACCGCTCGCGGGCCTCGAACACGCGCTTTGCTGAAGCAGGACCCGAAGGAAGCAGGCTGGCCGTGCGGACAGCTCTGCTTTACGCCGGCTGCCCTTGGCTGTGCGCTCTGGCCCTGATCCAAAGCACTGCTGTTATGCACCTGCTTGACTTGGAGCAGTGAGTAACCCCTTCGGCTTCACTGAGGCGATGCCTGAAGTCCAGCAGGCGCGTAAGTGCTTTTCTGGATCAGGGTCGGCACAAGCCCCTAGAGGACCAAGGTCCAACAGCTAGTTGTGGAGCGGAGCGGAGAGGCTGAAGAGGTGGCACCTAATTCCTTTACCTGGATCCCTGAAGGGAACGGATCCTAGAAACGCAGACTTTTCCCAATGAGGCAGCTCTACAAAACCGTCTCCTAATAACTGCAGATCAACGACACAACTTCAACCCTAAGGATCTCCAAACGGAGCTTGCTTAAATCCCCCCCCCCCTTCCACCCTGCATACAAACACCTGAGCTCATTTGGTGGGGTCACCCTGGCTCTCTCCCGAACCTCGGGCGTCACCAGTGTTCAAAAGAAAGTAGCGCGGATCGAACTCGACCAAAGCTCAACATCAGACGATGACAAGAAAAAGAGGTTACAAGGTTTCCAAGTCCTGTTTCCCTGAACGAACGCTAATATATATCATTTTTGTGAGTTAAGGTTTGATTTTTTTTTTTTAGAGAATAAAATAGAAGCTATTTACAAAAAAAAAAAAAATTCCAAATAACCACCTCGTAAAATGCCATATAGTTTGAGTGTAGTTCTTAAAATTAAAAAAAAAAAAGATTTAAAGGACTAAAATTCCTCCCGCTTTTGCAAATGTTGTTTTTGGTTTAAAAAAAAGAAAAGGAAAGGAAGGTGGGGAGGTTTCATTAAAAACACAAGCCCGCGGGCGTCGGTGCGACTGTGTGTCTGTCTGGAGGTATCCAAAAGAACACAACTTCAAACAACAACATTAAAACAAACCAACGCACAGTGCAAAGTGGGGTGTCGTGAGGTAAAGCGTTCCGGGAGGACGGTGCATCACCTCCAAAGCGAACGGGTAACGACTGGCTCAGGGTCCAGGCTGCTTTTAATGAAACCCCCTGGATTAAAGCTTTTCTCCTTGCAAAACTTTCTCCAGTCCTCTCGGGAGGAGTGGGAGACGGGGGCTTCCTCCCCCCACCCCCCGGGAAAGCCAGATGCAAGCTTGGTTTTTGGCATCAGCTGTGATAGAAGCTCCATGTGTGGGTTTATTATTTTGTGTGTGTGTCTTTTGGTGAGATGAGGCGCTGCCGTTGGGGGGAGGGGGGGTTAAGGCGAAGAAGAGTTATTAGAGGTAGAGGTTGGAGGGGCGGACAAACCAGCTGGGGCAGCCTGGGAGACGCCGCTGCTGCCCCCCACGCCGCTGCTGCTGCTGCTGCTCCGGCTGCCGCTGTTTCCTTTGCTGTAGGCGGAGGAAGGGAGCGAGGAGGACGAGGGGCCGGGGGTCTGTGCGAACAACACACCTGGGGGAGAGACAAGAGGGAGAGGCTTGGGGTGGGGCTGCTCCTAACTCCAGCGGGAACCAAGCTGCGAAGTGGGGAAGAACGCTCCTTCTCCCCCCTGTCCTCCCTGCTAGGACAGTGGGGCCCTGATGCGTAGGAACCGTCAGCCCGGATCAAAGCAGCGATCCATCCGGCCCAGCATCCGTCTTGGTCAATGGCCAGCGGCTTCAGAGGAAGGGGCAAGAAACTCTGCAATAAGCAGCTAAGGCATAAGCTTCATTGGAGAGGGGTGATCTAGTGCTTAGGGCCCTGGCCTATTCTAGTTCCTGTGCCTCTGTTTCTCCTCGCAACCGTGTCTCTCTAGACCGTAAGCTCTTCGGGGCAGGGACCAGCTCTCGCTAGGTGTCTGTGCCACGCCCAGCAGAATGGGGTGTGGCTCTTGGCCTCTAGGCCCTACCATAGTGGTGCTAATTCGTGGAACTAGCTTGCAAGCGCCTTTGTCCCCAGAGGAAAGAGTTTGGAAGCACATTGTCTAAGGGCAGCGCGACGCGGAGAGGCATGTCGCCACCTCCTGAACGCCAAGACCGAAAGCCTGCAAAGGGAGAGGCGCGTCCGGCACGGAGCAATCCAATCCACCCCCAGAAAGCAGGGCCGGCTCCAGGGTTTTGGCTGCCCCAAGCCAAAAAAAAAAAAAAAGCCGCGATCGCGATCTGCGGCGGCAATTCGGCGGAAGGTCCTTCGCTCCGAGCAGGAGTGAGGGACCGTCCGCTGAATTGCCGCCGAATAGCTGGACCTGCCGCCCCTCTCCGGAGTGGCCGTCCCAAGCACCTGCTTGCCAGGCTGGTGCCTGGAGCCGGCCCTGCCGGAAAGGCTGGGAAGGGACTGCAGAATAGGAACCTTGAGACCAGAGCCTGGGCTCTGATCAGACAGCCTGCTCTGGGTTTGTACAGCCCCCGGCGCGATGGGGCTACTGGGGCATCGTCTCACAGTTACACATCAACGCGATCACCGGGGAGAGCCGTGTTTTGCTGTTTGTCTGGGCCAGCAGGGGGCTGGGGAGGGGCGGAGCGAGAGGCAGAGACGGAGACCCGGCCGCGTTCCCCTTACCTGTATAGACGATGCCGTTGATCTCCACTGACATGCTGATGCTGTTCGTGCCGTTGCTGGCCAGGCTCATGCCGGAGTCCTGACGGTTTTCTGCAGCAGGATAGATCAGATTATAAACAAAGTGCTCAGTCAGAACACGGCCATCCTGACCCGCCAGGATCACAGAACCCTGCGGACGCCATCCCCAAATCCTTTCCTCTCGGCTATTAACAGGGATGGTAAAAAAATCCCTCTCCATTTACAGATGGGGGTCTTAGCATCCGGGTCTGCCTTTAAATGTTATTGTGGTCCTATTGGACAGGCAGCAGGGATACATGGAAACCAGCGGGTGGGAAAAAGGACCTGGAGAACGAAAAGCGAGCCCTCCGGACAAGGCTGGTTTAGGGGTCTGGTACCATCAGCAGGAGCAGAGGCCCTGGGAATCAAACCCGGCTTCGCAAGACACCAGCAGCTTTGGGATTTGTGTCTTCAGCTTCGCTAAAAGTGGGTCCAGCACACTGCCAGGACAGGGAGCGGGGAGAGGGACCGGATCAGACATGACACGGAAGAGGCGCTGGTTTTTAAACCCTGGCTAGTAAAACAGTCCTGCCTATGCTGGGAGAGGGGAAAAGGCCTGGCTGAGCGGCCCCAGCATGGGACAGGGAGCTGGGGACAGCTCTTTTAGCTCATGCAGTGGAAGCTTGGCATTTAAGAATCAGAGGTCCCGGGTTCAATCCCCACTGCCGACGACCCGTGCATGGGGTGGCCTTACTCCAGCGGGCTGGGATAGGGTTGGGGGCCCCTAGACTAACCTCTGGGGATGATCCGCAGTGCGACCACCTCCCTTTTCTCTCCCTCCCCCCAAGCCAGCCCCAGCGCTGCCCACCTGGCGAGCGGGTCCCTTGGCTGTTAATGCGGATGCTCATGGGTAGCTGCGCCGTCATGGCCAGGAGGTTCTGCTGAATGGCCCGTTGCATCAGCCTCTGCTGCTCGTCCGTCACCAGAGCCAGCTTCTTCTCCGGAGGCTCCCCGGACTCCAGCTTCTCTCGCAGCTGCTCCAGGGCCGCGGCCTGAGCGGCCACCGCTGCCTGAGCGGCGGCCGCCTGCACGGCCGCTGCCTGGGCCGCTACCACCGGGTGGCCAGCCAGGGACACAGGGAGTCGGCTGGGCATGGTGATTGGGATGGGGGAATCCTCTTCTGCAACAAGGAGAGGGCACGGGAGTCCCGTGAGCTCGCGCAGGCTGGTCCAGGCCAGACTCTTCACGTGCATGAGAAACAAGCTTTACGTACACCCAGCCTTCCCAGCCAGCTCGCTGCTGCAGTATGGGATGGCTCCTTTGTATGGTACTCTCCTTTCACAAGCATTGATTCACACGGGCATGGCACTGAAGACTAGTGGTTAGACCAGGGGGGCTGGGATTCAAGACACCTAGGTCCCAGCTGCCTTCCTGTACGACCTGGGGCAAATTACTTCCCCGCACTCTGCCTCAGTTTCCCCAGTGGTAGACTAGGGATAATCCTGGCCTATTTTATGGTGGGTGAGCAGAGCAATCCCTATGGCTCCGTTAATGGTTATAAATTGCTCTGAGATTCTGACATTAAAGTGGCACCATGTAAAGGAGCCGGTGTAGCAGCGTGGACTGAGCGCAGGCCTGGGAGCCAGGACTCCTGGGTTCTCTTCCCAGTGGTAGAAAGAGAGCGGGGGGGACTGGGACTCAGGACTCCTGGGTTCTCGTCCCAGCTCTTGGAGGAGAGCAGGGTCTAGTAGTTAGAGCAGGGGGGGACTGGGACTCAGGACTCCTGGGTTCTATCCCTTGCTCGGCCATCATTTGCCCATGAGTGCCACAGGAATGTTATTAACTCCCCGCTCCGGAGGGCTCTGAAACTACGGGGTGAAAAGCTCCAGCTAAAAGAGCCAAACCCTGAGGCCTTTACTCCCTCGCTCCCCCCATCGCTTTAACCCACGGCCCAGCCCACTCACGCCAAGCAGGGCGCCAGCCAAGCCGTTACCTTTCTTTATCTTTTGCCCGGGGCCGAGGGGGCCGCCGTTGGTGGCCCCCGCCAGCCCCAGGCCAGGCACTTGCAGCTTGGGGGAGGAGAGCAGGCTGGGGGTGCCGCTGGGGGAGTAGGTGAAGAGGGAGCCCCCGAAGCCCTGCCGGCGGCCCTCTCGCCGGTTGCTGTCGATGGCTGCTTGCAGCTCGTTGGGGTTGCTGAGGCCTCGCTTCTCGCACTCGTAGGGGTACAGGTACTTCATGTATCTGCCAGAGGAAACGCCCCGCTCAGCCCGCGGCACCAGCCGCCCCCTGCCCGCCCGAGAAACCTCCCAGCCCACCCGCCGAGGAGGCGGCTCCCGCAGGCCAGCAGCTAGCACGGGCGCCTGGCGGCGTTGATCCAGAGGCGCCTTTTCCCCAGGGCCGCGCCGCCGCCACGCCTTCAAGCGAAAGGGATTGCTGTAGCCCCCACCCCTGCCCATCTGGGCAGTGGCAACAGGAGGTTTGGCGACACCGACGCTCTGTCCTGCACCAGCCAAACCAGAGATCCTTAACAGATCTGGCTACAGAGGCCCCTTTCTCCATCCGGGGCGGGGAAGAGAGAGCGGGTGCGGATCCAGCAGGAAGCAGAGCAATCCGGGAAATGGGGAGGGGACCCAGCACCCCACCCACACAGCCTCGCGATGGGCTGTGGCCGAGTGCCACCCCTTAAACGAACAGTAGCTGATCCCCCACCACACCACCACCAGCCGCTTCTGGCCCTTGCTGTACTAAGGAACAGTGGCTGGGATCTCCCACCGCTGTGGGAAGCTGGGATCGAGCACTAGGCCAGCTGGATGGAAGGGCAGGGCGGTCTCCCACCTGCTCAGGGAAAACCTCCTCCCGCCCCCCGGATCCCACAGCACTTACTGAGTGCGTAGCGTGAAGGCAGCGCTGGTGATGGAGGTGGGCAGGTTGAGCCCTTTGGTGATCTCCCGCCACAGCTTCTTGTTGATCACTTCCACCAAGCCCCCTTTCTCGGTCACCAGCACGTAGAGCATGTACAGGTCCAGCACTTGCTTGGCCATGATGGGGATTCGGTTGACGGGCGTCCCTGTGGAGTGGGGGAGGTCAGTATGCTGGAGAGAGCTGGGCCAGGGGCCATGAAACGGAGGAGCAAGGTGCAACGGGGACTCAGAAACCCTGGATTCCATCCCTAGCTCTCGGACAAGTCACCTCCCTGCTGTGTGCCTCGGTTTCCCTCCCTCCTTTGCCTTTCTAGCTTTTCAGGGCCGGGACAGCCCCTAACAACATGTATATTATAGAATCTAGCACAATGGGGCCACGATCTCAGCTGGGGCTTCTGGGATCTACTATAATGTGTGATGAACACGAGGAAGGAAATACTTGTCCTTCAGACGAGATCATCTTTATCCCGAGTGTGCCTGGGACACGTTTTTGAAGAAAATCCTTTTCGTAGCAGCCTGGAAAGGTCCCCTAAATTCCACTGGCCGTTTCATCTGTGCTTAGCTCCCTTCCCAGCACGCCCGGCTGGTATCCGATTGTGGGTGGGGGAGGTTTGCCTATTTGCAGGGTACTATTTAAACATTTTTATATTCACATCCCTGCTCTGCTGGGCCGGGGCCGGTCATGCACACATTTGAAGGAGCCTGGTGTATTGGACTGGGCTGAAATAGAGACCCCACTGCCTATTTTCTTGGACTTATCTGCCACCCTGCCCTGGTCAGCGACAGCTCCTGGAACGTGGTAGGGGGCAGGGAGGTACCACAGAAGTGACTGGCGGCGGATAGGAAAAGGATGTGATGGAGCGAGAAACCCAACCCTCCCCACACAGAATACTCTGGCCATCTTCCACCGCCCTGTCTTTGCATTAGCGTCAGATGCACGTCACTCTCCCCAGATCCTCGCCCTGAGACGTCAGCAGCTCCTCCGCACATCCAGTGCAGGGAGAGGAGCTTACAGACACCAGCTCGGTCGTGTCCAGCAGGTGGCGCTAGCAACCAAAGCCCAGCAACGGGGCTTTTAAGAGGACGAGGGAATTCGTCAGAGAGCGGAAGAGACAGAAGCCACCGTCCCAGAGCATGAGACACCAAACTCTTGTGCAACGGACCGGAAGGTCCCGTCTGCTCTGGTGAGCTGGATTTAAAAACCCACGAGGGATCACAGCTGAGACACCGCTCTAGGCGGGGCCGGAGGGGGCGAATGGGCCAATGCCTTCAAATCTGCGTTCACGCTCCAAGACGGAGACTAGGGGCTAACCGGGCTTGAGCCCGAAACTTTCCCTGAGAGTCTCTCTCTCTCAAACAGGGCTACAGAGGGTCCCCCACCTTCCCAGCCCCCAATGCCCCAAGAGGCCAAAAACTGCAGGAGAGTCCGTGTCATTCCTGATAAAAATCCCGGGATAGGGGCCTGGCCGAGGATACTTTAAGGATGTGTCTATTATAAAAACTGGATGCAGACTGTTATAGGGACAAGATGACATCATCTCACTGTTTTCTTGTGCTTCTCCCCCCCCCCGTCCCCCAGCTTCATCCATTTCTTTCTTCTCTTATACGTAGATTGTAAATTCTTTAGAGAGGGGCTGACGTTTTGTTGTGTGTTTGTACAGCACCTAGCGCAATGCAGCCCCAGTCTAGGATTGCAGCTTCTAGGTACTTCAGTAATACAAATAATTAATAACAATGTGCCTGGTGACCCTCAGAACATAGAAGAGGGCCCTGCCTGTAAGCTGACTGTCTAAGGAGGATCTTACATTTGGTCGTTCGTTCTTTCAAAAACAATGTTCAATGAAAAACAGCCTTAAAAAATAAAAAGGCTCTGGGGACCCCCCCTCCCTCCAGAAAACGTGAACAAGATTTTTCACCAACATTTTCATTCTGTTTGGAATGTTCCAGTTTTTCAAATTTTTTTTTTTTTTTAGCCTTTAAAGCCAAACCTGTGTTGTTTTGTCAATGCGCCGCCTACCCAGGCTGTCTCCTCTCCCATTTGTCACTGGAAAGCGGGAGGAGAATGAGAAAAGGGGAGAGGAAGGATTTGAAGTTTGCATTTTTTACTGGAAAACAAACTTTTCCATGGAGGGGGGAAAAAACAACACCCCCCCCCAAACAAAAGAAAAGTAAAAGTTTTCTGCAAACCCCCTTGGCTCCCCAGTTTCCTACAACGCGGATCAAAGAGTGTCTGATCCAAAGCTAATGGGAACCTTTCCAGTGGACTTTAGATCAGGCCCGTGGGGTTTGCCCTCTGAGGGCTGAGAAAAGTCAGGTTGGCTCTAGTTTTTCCCCATACCTGCCCTGGGAGATCCAGGCCAGCGGGACCCATACCCTGAGCTGTGTGAGAGAGAGGGACGAGATGGGCAAGGCGCTCTCAGTCATATGATATGATAAACCAGATAAGCAGTACGGGGGCTTCCCCTAGAGGGTGCAGTCCCCACTGTTCACCCCACCCCAGCACAGTGCCTCCCTCTGACACCATGGAGGTGCAGTGAGCTCAATCCGGATCAGACTCACATGGCCGCAAGCCAGTTCTTACAGTGGGATCTCTGCAGACCCCACATCATTGGTGTATCAATGGTAGCTGGGGCCCTAGGGTTTGATGGCCCTCTGAGACTGACTTCCCCCCCTTGCCCCATAGGGCTAGACAAGGGGGGGCTGAGTGCCAACACTGCATGCAAGACCGTCTCTGCCCATCAAGCTTACAGTCCGCGATGGATGGACCACATGGTTCCAACCTAATGGGTTGAAGCTGCCCCAGCCCCTGTGCAGCCCGAGGTCCCTGCCCTCAGCAAAAGGCGTGTGGGGGGGATCCCCAACCCCTGCATGCCCCTGAACCCAGCTGCCCGGCTGTATCCCGGCTCATGGCAGGGGAGGGAAGGAGAATTGGGACCTGATCCAAAGCCTGCTGAAGTCAGGGGGAAAAAGCTGCCCGTGACATTATTGGGGTTTGGATCACGTCCTTGGGTTGTGGCTAACCTGGGTCAACCAGCGACACCCGATCCCAAGGAGGTGGCACCGTAACCTCGAGGCTGCAGCAGTAGCTGGATGGGAGCGCAGCCGCTGTTTTGTGGTGCGCGGGCACTGGGGGAAGGATCCCGCCCCACCCCAGCCCTCTGTCTCTCCCTGCACTAAGTCCAGCTCCTCACAGCTTGGCATGATGGGTAGGACCCAGCCCATCGCAAGCAGGGCTGGGCCTTCGTGCGCCAACAGGCGTCCTGGCACCAAACTCGCTGGTCTTACGTCGTCCAATCAGGGGCCGGAAGCCAAGTCCGCCGTGCTAGAGACGTAACGTTTGCGGTGGCTGGTCCTGGACCGTGGCACAAGCTGCCCCGGGAACAACGGCCCATCCCAAACCTCCCCACCTTCCACTCCAAGTGCCAGGCGTGTTATCTTTGACCAGCCTTCACGCCCATCGACACAGAGCAACGCATGTATTAAAAAAAACCCCGACCAACTCCGCTGCCCATGCGTCACGGCCACTACGGGAGGGGTGTCAGTTGCATGGCTTAATACACAACTGGGAGGCGCTCGGATACTCGGGTGAGGAGCCCGGTCTAAGAACAGAACTTCAGAATTGGCTAGTTCAATCCAGGGACCACCTGGAGGGGCACGCTACGAGCACCGGCGCAGGCCCCAATCGGAAACTGGGAAAAAACCAATCCACTGAGCAATCGTGAACGGACATTTGTCAAAGAAAACAGCCACCACCACAATGACAACCAAACAACACAACACACACACACACACACTCTCTCTCTCTCTCACACACAATCGGTTTGTGGACTAATTTCCCCATCCGTAGAACAGTCGTCTGCAATGAGTCACGTGACCAGCTTTAATGCTACCCGTAGCAAACAGCTAGTTCCAGCCAGTATCATTCTGAACCTACCACCCTAGTGCAGAGCTGGGGCCGAGAGTGGATGGGAAGGGGGCGGGGGGGGGGGGGGGGGGGGGGGGGGGGGGGGGGCGCGCGGACACAGGATGTTTATACAAAGCGGCAGAGAGACCACATATATTCAGGGAGGGGGACTGGGCTGTAATACATCCATTCATCAATAGCTGCCTGAAGAATCATGCCGATGATTCAATCAGACAAGCCGGGGGCGGGGTGGGGGGGGTGTCTTGACCTCTGGTTTATTGTAGGGGGGGAAGGGTGCAAAGGGCGGGGGAGGGAGGTGGCAAAGTCTGAAGTCGGGGGAAGCCAATGAGGATTTCTCCTCTCCCGCCTCTTCCTTTATTGATTTATTGCCTTTTTAAAAGCAAGAAACAAAATCCCCACCCCGTGGTGCTGCTGCTAATTTATGGCGGCTACCCGGAAGAAGGGAAACAGGCCGGGGGCGGAGGGGGGTATTGTTAAACCGCAGCTACTGAAATGGTGCTGAGCTGCAGCCGCTGTCAGCAACAGAGATTATTGATACGGTGGTAGCGCCTTGAGGCCGTAAGAGATCAGGGCCCCATGGCTGCGCATGCGCAGAGCACGGGGCAGTCCCTGCCCCAAAGACCTTACAGTCTAGACAGACAAGAGAGAGGAAACATTTTACAGACGGGGAAGGGAGATTAAGTGACTTGCTCAAGGTCACACAGGGAGACGGTGGCGGAGCTGGAAATGACGTCTGGATCTCCTGAGACCCAGCTCAGTGTTTTAACCTTACGGGTCAGATTTTCAAAAGAACGTGCTTTGTTCGTTTAAAAATCTGGTCACTTATTCTGGTCCCTAACCAGGAGCCGAGGGCTTCTGGGGTATGTCTACCCGGCCAAAACAGACCCGTGGCAGCGAGTCTCAGAGCCTGGGTGAACTGACTTGGGCACGCAGGGCTAAAAATAGCAGTGTAGACGTCCAGGGTGTGGCTGGAGCTCAGGCTCTGAAACCTGGTGATGAGGGAGGGTCTCAGAAGAACCCAGGCTATTCTGAACCCTCGTGAACAGCAGCCAGCCCGCAACCCAAGTCCCTAGCTCCCGTGTTCCCACCCTTACGCCCACCATAGCCCTGCCCCTACTTGGGCGAGGCAGCAGTTCTCAGCGCGAGGCTGAATGGGACAGGTCACACCTCTTAGTTCAGGCTGTCTGCGGACTCAGGCAGACGTTCCCGTGTCAGATACAC